GAGATCGTGACCTGGCTGAAGTCGGACGCTTAACCGACTGCGCCACCCAGGCGCCCCTGTTTTCATTTTTTAAGTTGGGCCCACACCCAGAGTGGAGCTTGCACTCATGATCCTGAGATCAAGAGTCACATGCTATACCAACTGAGCCAGTGAGACGCCCCCAGAAGCAGTACACTTTTAATCTTTCCTTTTATTATCAGATACATATGCACACAACATTTCACAGTTTTGCACACCTTGGATCCACATATATTGCATTCAGACTTTTGTACATACCTACACTTTTGCATGTACATGTGCCCTTTTGTGTATATATACCATGAAGATGTATGCATCCTTGCACACACTTGCCATTTATTTTTTAAGTATCCTGGACACTGTCTTACATAAATAGTGACTAACAGTATGAGGCAGACATGGTTGAATTCTAAGGATAGAATGTCATTTTTAAGGATCTTATTTTTAGTATTATACAGTTCACTTTTGAATTCAGGTTAATGGTGAATATCTTTTAAGAGAGGTGAGGATTTGTATACAGGAAACTGGGTCTCCATGCTAACCCCCTAAAAGGGAAATTTTAACTTACTATCTTTGGTGACTTCTTTTTTAGCTTTATAATGACAAAAATTCTTATGAAAGCTTTGAAATTAAATTTTCATTACCTGATTGAAGCTTCTAATTTTGTATAAAGGATTTTAAAGTAGTTGGATAAAATAAGAATTTGGATACAAATTTTACTCTAAGCCAATTTGTAAGAAAGGGGAAGAGATTGTATTTTACCTTCATCAAATTGATACCTTGTTCTTTCAGATAACAGTGCGTTTTCAAATACGTCTTGTGTTTAAAATGCCTGCTTAGCCAATTTTCCCATTATTACAGTCGTGTAAGGCCCAGCTCAAATGTCCTTGCTTGTTGAAGAACTCAAAGGCTTATCCCCTTTTACACTCACCTATACTCCCTATGCCCTGGTGCAGTATTATGCGGAAGCACACTTTAGTATCACTAAAAAATAATTGGCCTTGTGGCAAACCATTTGAGTTTGAATATTGTCTTCTACAATACCTGATATTTATTGAACTCTTAATACATGCCAAGAAGTGTCCTAAATACTTTCAACTTATTAATTCATTTAGGCAAGTGATAGCATCTTTTGGGTCCTAGACTCCATAACAAATCTGATAAAATATATGGATACATTTCCCAGAATAGCACATATGTTAGGTGTACATGTTAAACTTTACAACTGATTTCAGGGGACCTTAAGCTAAAGTGTCGTAAATCAGATCTTTGACACTCACTGGCAGGATTGTCCAAATCTTTGAGAAATGCCATATTTGCAAATGTGATCAGGTATTTTTTTCTGGATAACGCTGCTCACATTCTTTGCCTCTTAACCTTCTTTTTACCTTTAACACTAGTGCTAATAGTTGGCTATTTTGACAGGGCCCATTTTTCCTAAAGCATCAGAATCTTTATCACTTTATGAGAATTATGATATCCAAAAATGAGTAAGTTAAATGAAAAACAAAAAACAAAACGCCTTTCTTTGTGATGTAGGTGCAAGTGGTCTAAGAAGTCTATTAAAGTCACTTACTGGCTTGGTAAGTCACTTCCCTTTGACACAGCAGTCTCACAGAAAATACATTTTAAATTTCAGCTGCAGAAATATTATACATTACTATATATCAGGTACCTTTAAGGTTACTTTAGTCTAAATCATAAGTTTTAGATTAGCAGATGCCCTCAATCTACCTGCATTGGTATCTTTTTTTTTTTTTTTTTTTTTTTTCAGATTTACCCATTACATGTAGCTTTCTTTTCCATTTCAAGTTATTTATTTTTTTTAATGTTTATTTTTGAGCTTTGAGAGAGAGAAGGAGAGAGAGAGAGAGAGAGAGAGAGAGAGAGAGAGAGAGAGAAAATAAGTGGGGGAGGGGCAGAGAGAGAGGGAGATACAGAATACAAAGCAGGCTACAGGCTCTGAGCTGTCATCACAGAGCCTGACACGGAGCTCGAACCCATGGACTGGACTGTGAGATCATGACCTGAGCTGAAGTTGGACGCTTAACCAACTGAGCCACCCTGGCACCCCTACCTGCTTTGGTATCTTAAATGGGAATTTTCCTTTCCTGTAGAGAAAAACAGATACATCTTGTAATTTATATGGCATCATCTGACCAAAAAAGAGTATTGTAGTGATCCAACACAGTATCTCATGTTGAGAGTATTAGAGAACTCTACAAATAAGGATTAGCTCTTATTTTGCATATTAAAAAGTTAATTTTTATATGTAGTGAAATTGATAAATAAAAATAGTGAAGTAGTTTTACTTGGGGTCGTATATTTCCTGGGTTTAGTTTCAGTGCTATAACTTTCAAGTTTTTATCCACTCCTTCATGCCCTCATTGAAAATCAAATAGTAAGTTCCACTCTGAATGATCATGTCCTTCTTTGGGCTCTAAACTCTTTCTTGTGCCTTACTGCTCTTAGCATAGAGTCCAGACCCAATATTTGAGCCTTCTACTGTTGGTTCCCAACAGGTTCTCCAGTGTTACACAGTTTGGCTCAATACTTTTTGTTTCTGTTAAAATGGATTGTTCACTATTATTTGAACTTTCTGTCCATTTTATACAGTTTTCTTTAAATTGCTGGGTAGAGGCAGGAGAGAGTAGGTTAAAGTAATTGGCTTGTGGTATGTTTCTCTCCTGATTACCAGGGGAATGAAGACAAAGTGGCCTGGTCTTTTCTCTTTATAAACATGCTGATACTATAAACTTTTAGTGAATACAGACTAATGTTTGCTATGAACAGAGTCTTTATGGAATGCTTTGAGCAGGATGGCTGATTTGGCATTGCTTGTGGTAAACGAACATATAGCAAACATATCTGTGGAAATAGGAGGTATATTTCTCTGAAGAATATCATATAAGTAGTACCACTCTCTGGCACATAAAACTGAAGTATTTTATAACCCAAATGCTCACCAGTGTATGAGGTAACCTTTTTGCCTCACTTAGAGACCTCATTTAGAGACCTCTCTGGACCAGAGTGCTACTACTGAGAGGAAAGCATCTAGGAAGAAATGCCCAGGCTATCCCAGACCTCTCCCTGCTTTTCTTTGCCTGTGACACTAGATTGCTTATATCTTTGATATTATTAGTAAACGTATTATCAGTAAAATCTCAGAATTGAGTGTTGACTGCCTTGACAGTCCAAACCTTTGTTGGCTCACTTCCTTTCTCCTATTTTCATTTCTTACTCATACTTCAAGGCCTGGTTGAAAAATCACACTAGACCTGTTCTAACCTATAGGGATCTTTCATTTTTCCAAACTTGTTTTAGACTTTATTGTCTACAATGAGTTGCCTGTGGCAAGTTTTAGATCGTTGATTTGCTTCATTCTTGTTTAATTTCCTGAAAAGTTGCTTAACTTTTTAATATTTATGCTTTTACTCCTCAGGTAACCTTTAAGCTTAGGAACTGGGACTATGTTCACAGCTGTAGCCAGCAAGGACCCTTATACATTATAGGCCCCCAAATGTTAATTTAGGTTAGAGTAATGCAGATCAGAATTTGCTTTAGAGTAATAAAGGTGAAAACGCAAAGCATTGAGTATGTGGGGCCATTCTCTTACAGTGTTTAGATGTTTGCATCATGTTGATATTTGAAGAAAAAAATCTAATGAAAAAATGAAACTGTTCTGAGAAAGTTCAGACATTATTTGTCATACTTTTCATATTATTATAAATATGCTCTGAGTCATAGCAATACTGTTTGTTTATCTTCTAGAGGGGCAGTTAAGACACATAAAAACTGGGGAACCATTTGTTTTTAACTACCGAGAAGACTTGCACAGATGGAACCAGAAAAGATATGAAGCTCTAGGGGAGGTATGGTGATATATTCAACTTTAACTCCCCCCACCCCCAATTTTGAATAGTCAGAATGAAAGTTGTAAAGCTAAAACGGTTCATGAAGTCTTTCTAAAAAAAATGACTTGAAAAAGGTTTTGCATTTTTTGTTTGATTATTTTAATGGTTATGTTTGAAACATATTCTAAGTTTAAAAATTTATGTTTTTATGTAAACGTATGCTTCCCATGACCTTAATGTTTGGTAGTGAGTCATTACATCAGAAAACAAATTCTGCCAAATTTTATGTTTTAAATGTTTTTAGGAGGTTGAAATCTCTGCTGTGCCAGGTGGAAAAGTGTTACTTGAAATGCTTATCTTCAAAAAAAAAAAAAAATTACCAATGTTAATTATATGAGGTGATGGATGTGTTAATAATATTAATCTTCTTTATCATTCTATAATGTGTGTGTGTGTGTATAATATATATCAAATCATCACATTTATTCCTCAATAAAGGTAAAAAAAAAGTGCTTATCTCTGTGAGGAAGATTGATACTCGTTTGGCTAATAAATTGGATCTCACCTACTTACCTTTGACTTGATAAAGGATTAGGCCTGTGACCATTTAGGTTCTTCCCATGGTACTACTGGTAGGAACCCTTGAAAATGTCATTTGTCATTCAGGTGAATGTTTTTTAAAGCCAAAGGTTTTACTCATTCTATGTCATGTTAAGTATTTTTAATAAAATGTGTACAGACGCATTTGTTAAGTGTGGTAACTATACACTAGTTTAGTTCTCTAAGGATAAGTTGATGTTTCTGTTTTCTGTTTTGATTCCTTACAAAACTGGTTAAATGGTAGCATAAAGAATATATGAAACTAAATTTATGTTTCCTGGGAGCCAATTCTCCATGTGTCTCTTGAATTTCTACATGTGTCTGAGCAAAGTCACTGACAGCTTTTGATGTGGTCTATCTTTTTGAGGGTCTTTGTATAGGAAACAACTTGGAAGACAGAGATGTGTATTCCTACAAGGCAGAGAGCAGATTTTTTTTGCTATTCAAGAAAATGCTCCTCCCTTCCTGCACTAATGGCAAAGCAACCCCTTACAAGACTGGGCTTCATAAATGTTGAGGTTCCTTAGCTCTACAGTGTGTTCAGCCTCTGTCCTTAGCCTGTTCACATTGCCTTTTTGGTATTTGAGGGACAAGAGAAAGATGAAGATAAGCTCATGCTGCCTGCTCTACACTGAGTAATAGTCTTTTGTCGCTGACACAGGAGTCTAGTGTCTTTTAGCAGTATCCATGAAACAGTAGCAGGCTAACTTGTTAGCTTGCAAACAGGATAAAATATCAGGTCCCTCAAAGTTCTTGATATTGTTCTCCAGCATTTATATCTTTTTTAAAAAAAATTTTTGAATGTTTTATTTATTTTTGAGAGAAAAAGAGACAGCATGAGCAGGGGAGGCGCAGAGAGAGAGGGAGACACAGAATCTGAAGACAGGCTCCAGGCTCTGAGCTGTCAGCACAGAGCCTGATGCGGGGCTCAAACTCTCAAACCACGAGATCATGACCTGAGCCAAAGTCAGATGCTTAACCGACTGAGCCACCCAGGCACCCCTCCAACATTTATATCTTAAGTATATGTAATGCCCTGAGTAATTTCTGCTGCACATAAGATGTCTGCCCATTTCCACTTGAATTAATTATATGCTGCATACTGGTAATATGTTGATAATAGAATATCCATCGTATATGACCTGAGAGAACTGGGGATGTTTGCTTTGTTATATTTGTATGTGGGGCTTACATTTTACTCTTTTCCATAAGCCATGTGTATTTGTTCACTTGGACAGGTGCTGTTCTCTGAATAAACTTTGTCCTTTTTTGGCATCTGCATCTTTTTCAGCCTTAATCTGTATCCTCTAACATCATCCTTTCAAAATTTAGCAACTGTGTCTTATTAGATAATCCCAGGTGCAAGTGATTGCTTTCTCCTAGGATCTGCTACCTTTTGTTTTTTGGACATACGGAAGGTCACAGATTTAATTTTTGGTGGACCTTACTCCATGATAATCAAAATACAGTAAAACCTTGGTTTGTGAGCATAATTCATTCTGGAAATATATTGTAATCCAAAGCACTTGTATATCAAAGCGAATTCCCCTGGTAGAAATAATGGAAACTCAGATGATTCATTGCACAATCCAAAAATATTCATATAAAAATGATTACAGGGATGCCTGGGTGGCTCAGTCGGTTAAGTGTCCGACTTTGGCTCAGGTCATGATCTCGCTGTTTGTGAGTTCAAGCCCCACATGGGGCTCTGTGCTGACAGCTCAGAGGCTAGAGCCTGCTTCAGATTCTGTCTGTCTGTCTGACTCTCTCTCTCTGTCCCTCTCCTATTCACGCGCTGTCTCTCTCTCTCTCTCTCAAAAATAAATAAACATTAAATTTTTTTTAAAAAAAGAATGATTACAATACTGTAATGTAATACAAAATAGTAAAGAAAATACAAAATATAAAGAAAAATAAATAAATGAACCTGCCCTTACCTTTAAAAACCTTTGTGGTTGGTGTGAGGGAGACGAGAGAGGAGGGTCATTGTGTAGGATGACTTCCACTGTCACTAATGGAATCACTTCTATTTATTGACTCAAAGGAATCTTTTTCTGAACGGGGGCCATTGTATGTGCTTGCACAGATGTTGACTACAGTACAGTATTAATAAACTCTTGTCATACTGTATTTAATGTAGCTGGCAGTAAGGCAGCAGAGGAAAGGGTCTATATCTGCAGGCAGCCTGACCTAGAGTGGAACAAAGCATTCCTAAGCTTACTCTTGTATGGAAAAGCAAAGGGCTGTCCATAGGTTATTTGAAGTGATAAAAAAATACACTAGTGCCAAAGTTCTGAAAAACCACTGATTTCTGCCAGACATCACAGCCTGAGACCAAGCATCTAGGCACATGAGATGATCGCCCACAATGTAGCAAGACAGAGACAGAGAAAAACCATTGGCTCAGTTGTGATCGTATGACATTTGGTGTCATAGGCTACTTGTATTGCAAGACATCACTCGTTTATCAAGTTAAAATTTATTAGAAATGTTTGCTCATCTTGTGGAACACTCGCAGAGCAAGTTACTCGCAGTCTAAGGTTTTACTGTATCTTGAACTTAATGATTATATATAGCTATATATAGAGAAAATATTCTACGTTATCTAGATTTTTCACCTCCTGTGCCTGTATTCACATTTGTGTTGATGATCAAGTTGGCCCTAAATGATCACCCCAAATCACAAGATTTATTCTGTAATGCAGTGTAACGCAAATTTAGATCATTGGACTCCTGAGCTTCAAGTACCAATCCCATTTACTTCCCAATATATATATATTGAAAGTAATATATATATATATTCCCAATATATATATATTGAAAGTAAACATAACTTTCTAGCATAAAACTTGTCGCAACAAAAGATCCAAGAATTGGAGAAGGAAGTCTGGTTGTTACAGCCTTTTGTTCCATACCATCTTGCTTCTCACGTCCTGTTTGAAATACTTATTTTCATTACTAATCTCACTGTTGAAGGCTGGTTATTAATTGAATTTCATTTCCTATATTTTAGCATTGAGATGTATGAGTTTTAGTTATATACGAATAAGAACACAGTTTTCACTATGGTGAATTTGTTTAGTGTTCATTATGGTGGGATTTAATAATACATAGGTGTACCTATATTTTGTCCATATTTCTTCATTTCTATTTCTGAGCTGTGCTTTCCAGTTAGATTTAACTACCGTACTATCCTTCGTTCATACCTTGTACTTTTATCTCATACTGTTTTCTCTCTTTGAAATGCCCTCTCTCCCTTGTTCACAACACCCGTACCTCCACCTGCCTTAAGGTTTTGGCTCAGATGTCTTCTTTTCTGGGGAGCCTTTTCTCATCTCCTCTGCTACTCTCTCTCTTCTTTTCTTCCCAGTTCCTTTTTTCTGATTCTCTTTTTTCTGCCTATCTTGCCTTCTTCCAAGAATGATTTAAGGTTACTTTAAATATGAATATGCCATTTAGCAAGGTTAAAAATTAAGTTAAAAATAATAAAATAGAATTTTAAAAAAGAAAATAATGTTAGTAAACTAGTGGCATGAGTTTGCTTTATTTCTCTCAAGCTACTTTACTTTGTGTCACAGTGTTTTTTTATGCATATCTTTAAGCAATTTGGGAAAATTTTCTGTGTTCTCATATTTGTTTAATAGGAAATGAGTGTGATAACACATATGTAAACTAGTATGAATTCTGGACCTATGCATTTTAGGAAATTTCTTAATTTTAGGAATTTGAACATAAAGATATATTTTCATATCAGAGTAAAGGAAAATGATATGCTAATGATAATTTTCCTGTTTGTAAAAATATTTTCCATTATTTGCTAATTACCATTTAATTTCTAAGTTTTAGAATTTTACTGCTTTGCTGATTAAAATTATTTAATTAAAGGTAGTCCATGTTTGTGGCATTTTCTTTTGGAAAATTTTTTCCTTCATAGTCACACTCTAGACCTCTGTTGCTGTAATTCAGAAAATAGAAGTTCATGTATAATTGTCTAAAATTCCTAGAACATAAATAAACCTTTGCATTTAAATCCTGGAAATAATTTAGTATTTATTGTTACCAGTAAGATCTCTAGTTCGATTAAATGAGAACCTGTAGAAAGTATCTCACCACATCCCGAATATAGAAGCATTTAAAAACCTTTCTTTTCATGGATGTGAGGGTGGAATACAGAAGATAGTGTAAATTTGAGTTTCTTGTCTAGAAGCCTGCCTTAATAAACAACTTCTGATACACTTAAGATTGAAGTTTTAGGGAAACAGATTCTGACTTTAGCCAGCAATCTAAACCAAAACCCCTTCTGTGTTTTTTTAGTATGTTCCTACTAAATACTGAGTTTTGTCTTCACTGGAAAGCTACTATGTATGTTTTGCAACTGCCGTTTTAGTTTATGTTTATTTCTCTCTTAAGGAGATTAT